CTTGAGCCACCTCTCCCAGCCGCCTTTTTTTTTTTTTTAATGTTCAATTTTTTGGTGGTAAGTACATCTAAAATCTGTTCTCTTAGCAAATTTTCAGTATGTAATACGATATTATTAACTGTAATCCTCCTGCTGTACATTGATCTCTAAATGTATTAATACTATATAAGTGAAAGCCTATACTCTTCAACCTATGTTTCCCCATTTCTTCTTTCTTACCCCTCTCCGATCTTGGTAACTTTCATTCTATTCTCTCTTTCTGTGTGTTTCACTTCTTTTAAAATGTTCTATATGTAAGTGAGATCATGTATTTTCTTTTTCTGTATCTGGCTCATTTCACTTAAGCATAATGTTCTCCAGTTTCATCCACTCATCCATGTTGTTGAAAATGGCAGTATCTTCTTATTTTAAGGCTGAATAATATTCCATTGTCTGTGTGTTTGTGTGTGTGTGTTTGTGTGTGTGTCTGTGTGTGTTTGTGTGTGTTTGTGTCTGTGTGTGTGTTTGTGTGTGTGTGTTTGTGTCTGTGTGTCTGTGTGTGTGTTTGTGTCTGTGTGTGTGTGTCTGTGTGTGTGTGTGTGTGTACACTGATATGTATTCCACAGTTTATCCATTGATCCACTGCTGGGCAGTTAGGTTGTTGCTGTTTCTTGGCTATTGTGACTAACGCCACAGTGAACATGGACATGCAGATCTCTCCACAAGGTGCTGACTTTGATTTCCAGTTGGTATACACAAGCAGAGGGGTTTCTGGGTCATATGGTAGTTTTATTTTTAATTTTTTAGAGAAAGCTTTACGTTATTTTTCATAATGGCTGTGCCAATTTACATTCCCACCAAAAAAGAGGGTTTTCTTTCCTCTGCATTTTCATCAACACTTGTTATTTCTCATCTTTTTCATAACTATGCTAAAATGTATGAGGTGATATGTTGTTGTGGTTTTGATTTGTGTTTCCCTGATGATTAGTGACATATTGAGTACTTTTTCACAAACATGTTGGTCATTTGAATGTTTTCTTTGGAAAAATGCATATTCAGATCCATTGTCCTTTTAAATTATACTATTATTATTGCTATTGAGTTGCTTGAGTTTCTTATACATTTTGAACACTAATCCCTTATCAGACATATTGTTTGCAAATATTTTCCTTCATTTGTAAGTGATCATTTTATCTTGTTTATTTTTCTTGTTTATCAAGATTATATTATAGCTGTTTAATATCTTTTGTGATTCCATACATATTTTAGAACTATTTTCTCTAATTGCATAAAATAATGCCCTTGGATTTTTTTTTTTTTTTTTTTTTTTTGAGGCAAGGTCTGAGTCTGACACCCAGGCTGGAGTGCAGTGATGTGATTTCAGCTCATTGCATCTTCAACCTGCTGCACTCAAGTGATTTTCCCACCTCAGCCCTCCAAATAGCTGAGACTACAGACTGCAGGCATGTGCCACCACACCCAAATAATTTTTTTAATAGGGATGGAGTTTCCCTATATTGGCTAGGCTGGTCTCAAATTCCTGGGCTCAAGCAATCCTCCAGCCTCAGCCTCCCCAAGTGCTGGGATTACAGGCATGAGCACCTGACTTGGCATTTTAACAGGGACTGTACTGATACTCTATATTGCTTTGCATGTGTGAAAATTTGAACATCTTTTCATGGGCTTATGTGTCCTCTGTGTGTCCCCTTTGGTGAAATTTTTCTTGTGTTTGCCCACTTTTTAATTAGTGTGTTTGTTTTTACTATTGAGTTCCAAGAGTTCTTTATATATCCTAGGTAATAGTCCTTTGTTAGATGGTCAGCTCTCAATATTTACATTAGTATATTCTATAAAGTCACTGTGGGTACTCAATCAGCAAATGGTGAACCACCGTTCCCAGGGGAAATACAGGGTTAGGTTCCTGTGAGCTTCTGGTCACATTTCTGCAAAACTGGGCAATATATAATCTTGTCTTATGCATATCTGTTTAAAGATACCCCACACTTCATATGCACTATTGATTCATTACATTGATCTCAGTCAGCAGCACTATAACTCATAGCTGAGTGAAGCTCATCTAACACACATCCTTTCTCCATGAAGTGCATCACAGCACTCCAGCCCTTAGGAACACTAGACAGCCTTTCAGCAGCACTCCTGAGGTCCATCTCAAACTTTGGAGTTGCCAAAAAAAGCACAGAGTACAAAAATATTTAGTGGGACTAAGTAAATTGCAAAACAGATACTTGTTTCTAGTATTGCTTAGCCTCAGTTGGCCACCTGAGTGTCAGAAGATTCAGACTTTTTACACTGTTTTCCTGTCTGTGTATGACCACTATGGTGCTGTGGGTGTTACATTTGGAGCTAAAAACACATTTTATCAAGTGAGCAAATTCCCAAATATGGAAGACACAGATACTGAGGATCCACTGTATATGATTTGCAACTGTTTTCTCCCACAGTGTGTCTTGTATTTTAATCCTCTTAACAGGGTCTTTCACAGCATGAAAGTGTTTAGATTTAATGAACTAAAATTTATCTGCAGGGTGCAGTGGCTCATGCCTGTAATCCCAGCACTTTGGGAGGCCAAGGTGGGAGGATCACTTGAGACCAGGAGTTTGATGCCAGTCTGGGCAACATGACAAGACCTCATACCTCAAAAAAAAAAAAAAAAAAAAAAAAAAAAAACTCACAAAGCAAACAAAATTTGTTGTTTTTATTTTATGGATCATGTTTTCTGTACCAAGTCTAAAAACTTTTTGCTTAACTCTCCATTTAGAATATTTTTTAGGCCAGGTGCAGTGGCCCAAACCTGTAATCCCAGCACTTTGGGAAGCTGAGGCAGGTGAATCGCCTGAGGTTAGGAGTTCGAGACCAGCCTGGTAAACATGGTGAAACCCTGTCTCTACTAAAAATAAAAGAAATTAGCCAAGCATAGTGGTGGGCACCTGTGATCCCAGCTACTCGGGAGGCTGAGGCAGAAGAATCACTTGAACCTGGGAAGTGGAGGTTGCAATGAGCTGAGATTAAGACACTTCACTCCAGCCTGGGTGACAAAATGAGACTCTGTCTCAAAAACAATTTTAAAAAATGATTTTTAAAAAGAATAATTTAAAAATGTTTCTCTGTTTCCTATGTTTTATGGTTTTCTATTTTTCATTTAAGTTCACAATCTACTTTGAGTTACTAATAATTTCTTTATAAGATATGAAATTAAAGCTGAGGTGTATTTGTTTGGTAGTGGCTGTTACTTTGTCTGTGGATAGCCAGTTGCTTTAGGACAACTTATTTTAAAAGGCGATCTCTCCTCCACTGAGTTGCGTTTGCACCTTTGTCAAAAATCATGTGGGCATATGTATGCCCTCATTACTGCAGGGTGGTGGGTGGAGGTCCAGGCTCCCCACATGGTCTCCACTTCAACTGAGCAGGTGGGGTTCCCTTTGCCATCTGTTTCAGATGGAAGCCTAGCTCCCTGCTGAAGTCCCTCTCTTGGCAGGTTGGGTGGAGATGCAGTGTTTTCATGCAGTCTGGGGATGGCGGGTGTCTAGACTTCCCACTTTGCCTTTGCTGGTGTGGGTGGAGGTGGGCCCACAGTGTTTTCTGTTTCTTGGCTGGAGTAGACAGCTGTTGCCTAAAAGTTTTCTGTCTTGCTGTTCTCTTCCTGATCCTTCGGCTGGAAGGAGAAGGCTTTTTTGGTATAATTTTCTTGTCTGTGGCTATTAGGTTTTCTGGCTTCTTACCTTCTCCAGTATCCAGTCTGGGGTATATGAGGCAAAAGAAAATGCAGAAGCCTCACCAGCATGTCTCTCCTTCGGTCCTGAGGTCCCTAACCCATTTGCTTTCTTATCTATGTTTAAGAATCTTCATTTGCTTTTCTATATACTGTTTTTCTAAATAGATTTTTTGTTGTGCTTAGTGCAAAAAATAGGGGAAAGTATGTCTGTCTACTTCATATTTCTGGAAACAGAAGCCATGGCAGATACTCGTAGAAAGTACTCATTTTGCAGATACAGAAACAAGTTCAGAGAAATTATGTGATGTACTTAAAGTCACACAGCTGGAAATGTGTCACTCACACTACAGCTATGAATCCAGCACCAGTGCTCTTTTCTCTTTATCTCTGTACATCATTTATACATAAAAACAAGCATGCAACTACCAACAGAGCATTCTGTGAGTGTATGTGCAATGAAAGTACCTCAATAGCAGGGTACTCACCCAGCTATGAGCTCAGTCATGAAAGACTGATGTGTTCATGGTCCATTTTCCTTATGTTTCACTTCGGTTTATTCACATTCCATTTCACAATGGGCTTCAAATCAATGAAAGAAGAGAACAATGATGATGCCAGTAATGTCCTCCAGTGCTTACAGGCAAAGAGTCATTAACTGCAAAGCACAGAACTTCAAAGGATACTTCTGTACTTGGGGCCAAAGAGGACACATTAGAGAGTTAGCTGACAGCATGGGGACCTGCACATTGTCCTGAAATTATGGGATTAGAAAATGGGAGTGCTATGTAAAAATAAAGGAGGCAAAATATACAGGGAATGGTGTATTTGGCGATGCCTCCAAGAGGGCTAACTCAGAGGCTATGCTAATAAAGGAAGTAGTTTTTGTGTTGCAACCTGATAGAAACTGAATTTATGGATGGATTCCCCACCCTGCATAAATAACCTGCTTTCCTATTACAATAACCTTTCATGAGTACATAAAACCCATACCCCTTAATGAAACTGTCACATGACCCATCTCTTTCTTTCCTCTATTCCTGTCATCTCCAACGTTGTTCAGTCTTGTATGATCTCAAGTGAACTCAACTTCTTGTCTTCAACGCTGCCCTGTCCCCTCCCTCTCCACCTTTGCTGATAACATGCATTTGTCACGAATGCCAGATGATAGTGCATGCTGCCAAGAAACTTCCCTAATTTCCTATGGCTTTCAGGAATAAGTCTAGGTATTTTTAGAAGTCAACATTAAGATGCCTGATCTTCAGCATCCTGTCCTCTGCTCTTTTCTTAGGTATTACCAGATCCGAGTGACCTTGAAGGTGTCCTCAAGGATCCCCCACAGACTGAGTGCCTCCATCGTCGGGCAGACAGGTGAGCAGAAGAATGGCAGTGGGGCGCTTGCCCCCAGTGGTGAATCTTCATTTGTCACTGCTTGCCAGGGCACAGCAGAGTGCAAGGCACTCAGTCAATCTTTGGTGAATGTTGAATGAGTGAGTTTTGGAAACGGAGACCAAGAGTTGGAGGTGGCCATATGAGTACATTGTTGAAAGGGGGACCTGGCTTGAAAAAAATACACTTTCCCAGGAACAGCCAGTATTTGAGACAAACTGGCTGTGGGGGGCTTGGTTAAAGCCAAGTCAGGGAGGATGCCAGTGGGAAATGACGTCCAGCAAGAGGGTTAAACAGGAAGCCTGTTAAAGGCTTCAACTAGGTACAGAAGACTGAGTGAATAGGCACTGTGGTGGCATGCTCCATGCACGGCGAAGCAGTGAGGGGGAGCAGTGTCCGAGAGCAGCGCTCCCAGCTTGAGGAGGATTGCCAAGGACAACTCGGATCCTCATCTTGAGAAGGCTGGAGTACAAAGTGGTAACCGGGGCTCTGAACAGGTAGTCTATCACAGAGTGTTACATCAGAAATAGACAAGTTATCGTGCTGGAAATAAAGACAGACATAATATTAACTAGTAGACCTGTTAGGAGTTTGCATTAATAAATTTGGGAGAACTGTGCAGGCTAGGTAGACCTTAAGAAGAAGAGGCAGGGCATGGTGGCTCATGCCTGTAATCACAGCACTTCGTGAGTCTGAGGTGAGTGGATCACCTGAGGTCAAGAGTTTGAGACCAGACTGGTCAACATGGGGAAACCCCATCTCTACTAAAAATACAAAAAAATTAGCTGGGCGTGGTGGCAGGTGCCTGTAATCTCAGCTACCCAGGAGGCTGAGGCAGGAGAAACACTTGAACCTGGGAGGCAGAGGTTGCAGTGAGTGGAGATAGCACCACGGCACTCCAGCCTGGGTGACAGAACAGGATTCTGTCTCAAACTAAAAAAAAAAGGAGAGAAAGACTTAAAGGTTAGAGTAGAGGGTAGGGAGCATTGAAAAAAACAGATAACAAGACAGAGCCATGCAAAATCTGTTTAACATTAATTATAAATTACTAGTAGCCAAGAATGTTACAGAAATCCTATCCAGCAAAACTAAGAGTTGTGGTCATATCTACCCTTCATAAAATTCATTTGGAATTTGCAATGTGTTATGGCGAGTGAAATCATATGCAATTGAATACCCACAAGTTAGAGATGTAGATGTGGTGTTCTGCTTAAATTTACCTTGGAAGAAGTCGGGAGGGGGACCTGGTTCCTCAGGCCACGTGATAGAACATTAGAAGAGACCTGGTTTTAGAGCAATAGGATAACTCAAGCCTGTGATCTGCAAAAGGAAGATGCTGATGGCCACCGGCTTCTCCCTTGCCTTTGGGCAGAGTAAAGCACTAAGTAATAGTCAAGCTGCCATATTTCCAAGGTGTTCCTTCTCTTTCCCTTCACTCCTTTCTCCTGGGAAGAAATCAGGTATCTGAAAAGTGGGGAAAGGGAGCCACCCATTCTCCTAGATCCAGAGTGATTTAAGAATCCCACAATTCCCTCCTTTCCTGTTATTCTGTGCTTCACCCCTTTCTCACCCCACCTTGCAACAGAAGAAGGTCCATGATGTCCACAGAGAAAGCAGGGGCTTTGGCCCCTGACTCCACGTGAGCCAGTGTCCATATGTGTAAGTTGGATAATAACATATCTGTGAACCCAGGTATGTTACTAGAAGCTTGAGCTTTAGTTTCCTCAAATATGAGGGAAAAATGCATTCTTCATAGATATTTGTCTTAGAAAGTACACTTTATAAAAAGGACACTTTATATTTTGTAGAGATTATATATATATATATATATATATCAGAACAGGAACTAGCATGAGGTAAGTATCCAGTTAGTCCTACCTGCTGCCTGTGAGTGGTCATATCATCAGGGGTGTGAGGGACCCGATCACAGGGTCAAGGTGAAGGCCTTGGTGAGAGACCTAGACGTTAAGTGGAATAACACCCCAGCCGACCTGATGAAAGCCTCCCCAGACTCTCATCAAGGACTCCACTCTTCCTTGTGACTGTGGACAACAGGAGCTTGGGTCCTGTCACCGGCTGAGTCATCTTTTGGAGCTGGCAGGCCCCAGCTGTGAGGACCGGAGTCCTGCAGGATGCTCAGTGGTTGGAAGAGCCCAGCTGGGGAAGAGAAGGGCTTGAGATAGTACTACACAGGGACAAAGAAAATGAAAATGAAATATAATTTTTGGGGAAAAACCTATTTTCTTTTCTTGTATTGTTTAACAGAAGAATAATTATGATGAAGTTGGTATGCCTTGAGCTTTACAGTAGCATGCTGTTTAGAACAGAATACTAACGCAGAGGCCAGCAACAATTTACAATGAGATTGTGCCCCAGGTGAGAGATGTATAGAATTTGTATTTCTTCTTCGTGGTTGAATTTTTCAACTATACCATTTTTGGTTAGAGACCGCTGCATTATGAAGTACTCCAAAACTTGTGACTTTTAACAATGGCTTATTCTTTTCTAATGTTTTGAGTTAGCCAGCCTAGGCTGTGGAAATTTATGCACTACCTTAAGCTGAGATCTCAGCTGAGGATGGAGCAGCTAAGATGTCTTCACTCATCTCTCTGACCCCTTGGTTGGAGTGACTGCACCAGATAAGAGACAGCTGGGCTTCTGTCTCCAGTTGGGTGGTCAGATTCCTTACATGGTAGCTGAGTTCACCAAGAGGGAAAATGAAGATGATTCCAGGCCACCTAAGGGCTAGATGGAGACTGGCATAGGGTGGCTTCCTCTACAGTTCATTGGTCAGGGTAGCTGACAAAGCCAGCCCCAGGGGGATGGAAATAGACTTTCTCTGTTGATTGAAAGCACCAACTGCATGTACAGTGATAGGGAGAAGCTTTGGCAGCCCTATTTATGGACAACTATCTATACATATTTTCCATTACCTCTATGCATTTCCGAGGGAAAAAAGAAAACTATCTTTAGGCAGCAAGGTATCAGACACTGCAGAGAACCAGGAGTGAAAACATCCGGACTCTAATGATGTCTTTGATGCTCAGTACTTGAATGGTCTTGTTGGAACACATGATTTCATTTGGCTTTTTTGTTCCACATGTCCCTAAATGTAAATAGAAAAAGCTTGCCATGTCCAAGGAGGCAGAATTTAGCAGGTGTGAGGGCCGCAAGCTTGGGCTCTTCAGGTACAGTGTCTATTCTCCCACTTCTAAGCTGCTTGACTTTAGAAAAGTTATTTAACCAATTTGTTTTTCAGGTTCCTCAGCTATAAAATGAGGGTGGAAGTTGGTACTTACAGGTTTGTGGTAAAGATTGAATGAATTGTGCAAATTCATGCATGTAAAATGATTTACAAACATTACATGGTTTACATAGATATCATGTATATAAAGTGATTAGACTGTTGCCTGGCACATGGTGAGCTCACAATAACAATTACTTAGAATAAGTGTTGCTATTATGCATAAGAGTAGCCTATTACTTAGCAGCCTCTGACCTGTGCTGTTCATCCTGGAGAACAAGAGGCTGCCTTCCAGCTCTAGAGATGCTCAAAGTCATCTCAGGGAGACAGAAGTGGTCAGATAATACTGTAGAGATGGAGAGTGTGGTGACCATCGGGACCATGCAGGACTGTGCTAGGAGCCGCTGGCTTGGATGAGAAAGAGCCTCTCCGATTGGGCTTGAAGGACAAGCAGAAATTGGTTCCACAGACAAAAGTAGGGAAGGTTGACCCAGGCAGTGGTAATAGAATGATCCGTATGGAGCAAAGGTGGTTCACAGAATGAGGAGAAATCTTGTGTGGCTGCCAATAAGAACAACGCCAACGTGAGAAGAGAGACAAGCTGTGGTCAGGTTTGGAGGCCATTTGCAACACACGGAGGAGATTGATTTTGTTTCAGAGACACAGCCAGATGAAATGAAACCAATCTGTCAAGCCTGGTGCTGTTCAAACGTGGTGCTGTGGCATAAATCGAGGGACAGGATTCTGCATTTGTATTCCCTTTTTAAATACGTCAGTTCTCTAATAGCCTTATTATATGGAAGCATGTTTCAATGATATAGATGATTTAGGTCCATATTCTCTTGATATGAAATAAATATTGCATTGACTCGTACAATCAGGGTGTGTATGATTAGCTCCTGTGAGTAAAACATAATAATAATTCCCCATGTGCATAGCCTGCATACCATTGCATTTTCCTTTCAATTCTTTTTTAAGAGGTGACTTGGGGAAGACTTCCCTGGAAAACTAATGGTTTGCTCTTTTCTGAGTCAGCTGTATATCTTGTTACAGAGAACATGACAGGCTTTGAGCTCACAGCAGTTAGGAATAATCATTTTCTTGGACATGCTAGGAAGATCCTAGCATTTGAGAAGGGACAGGCACACAAATGGTGACAGCAACTGTAATACTGTCAGATGTGCTTATAGACCTGAGGCCCCTTCTGTGTAGATGTGGGAACATTGGGGATTTGGCCTTAGTGTTGGGTATGAATATGAAGGATGCAGGTCTTTATCATCATATCTTCTATCACCAGAAATAGAAAAGTGCAAATTACAGGTGACTGTCTAATAATTCACTGACCAAGACACCCCTTGACTTTTCAAGAACAAGAAAGAAAGAAGTCGTTGTAACATCTTCCTGTTGTTCTCCTTTCACTTCCATGAAAATTAAGAAAATTTAGTGAAAATTGGGAAGATTCAGTGAAATTTCTTAGATAAAAGAATCTACTATTAGGGAGGCAGAGACTGCAGCAGAAAAGACTTGGACTGAGATAGTCACATTATATCCCACTCATTCACATCAGACCTATGTGTACCAAGGAAAGCCTTTCAACCACTGAGCCTTCAATTTTTTACCACAATGGGGGTAGTTATACCTTTAGCCTAGGGTTTCTGAGAGGATTTTAGAGCGTGATGGCGAAGCTCCAGCACAGTGCTTGATACATAATGGTAAAAATAAAATGCAGCTCTTATTA